TCGACCAATTAACACCCAAAAACACCTTCCGACACTAAAAAGCACACAAAAACACGAACTATACGTTCTACTCGGGTACTCGTATACAACGTATATCTGTTATAAGTCAGGTAGCACAGTAGGACTAAGGGAAGGTCCATTAATCATGTCACGCAAATTTGGCCCATTTTCAACCCCCCTTCCTCTTTGTCACATTTTTTGTATGGACCTTAATTTTTTTTTGTATGGCTCGTCACAGTTTCCGAAACCCCCCCCCCCCCTGAAAGTGTGACATAATTAATGGATGATCCCTAATGGTCAATGTCACTAGCTTTAACGTTTTCACTTTGATTGTTTCCAATGTTTTCAACAATCTTTGCTTGATCCACTCATTCCAACCAAATTGCGTTGAGATTGCGTTTCATCAAGCGACGAGCCAAATCCAAGCCAAATTCATACGCTATCCAGCTCGAAGGACCAAAAAAGCGGAGAGAAGCGATACTGATTCCCCAAGTGGAATCTGATCAAGCGTTGTTGATTCCCAATCAAACAAGAACTGCCTTCATTGCAGTCACCACCAACCAATCAATGCGGCTGTTCTAACAACTCTTCCATAGCCCTGAAAAGGGCTGCATACAAACTCTTCAGCTTGGTTGAACGAGGCAATGACGTTTATATAAGGTCCGGGCCAACAGGCAGCTTGCTGGTGTTAGAAGCAAAACTATTGCTGAGCAATGAAGTGACGACGTTACTCTACACACTTACAAATATTCATGTAAATTTAGGTGCTCTGAGAGTGACACATACGAGCGTCAATTTTGACATAAATTTGAGTCATAACAGACGCGAAATATAACTTAATCAAACTTACTTTTCGTCGAGCAACGAACTTTTCAGTCTCGGAGAACATAAGATTACATGACATGTTTGTTTACGCCTCATCTTTTATGTCATAGATGGATTCCGTCACGTGTAAAATTAGTTTTTTCTAAGTGTGTACCATAACATTCCATACTGCGAACAGTGAGATTTACGTCACTGCCAACAGCTGTTTCGTGTAAAAAGATAAACATTGCAATGAAATAGGGGAAATGGAAATAATGTCGGCCTACATGCCCCTAATTTGGGCCCATACATAAATTCAGCAATCGTAAATTTTCAATAGCGGCCAAAAATATCCATAAGTACCGTCCCAATGACGTGTTCATCTAGATAAAATTGATAAATAGCAGATTTCTAGCGATGGACCCAATCTTAGATCCATAGGCCAACATTAGAGGCATTTCCCCTACAAACACCAATAAACATTTGCACATTTCACTAACACCAATAAGCCTGTTGGTCCGGACCTTATGTAAAGGACATTGAGAACGAGGCACTTTCAGTTGGAGATAAAGGATCACACACACACACAGACACACACACACACAGACACACACACACACACACACACACACACACACACACACACACACACACACACACACACACACACACACACACACACACACACACACACACACACACACACACACACACACACACACACACACACACACACACACACACACACACACACACACACACACACACACACACACACACACACACGCACACGCACACTCACACACGCACACACACACACGCGGTAGTACTAAAATTTACGTTTATTTGCTTGTGGCTTTTGGCTCTTCATTTTTGTTCTAGTTAATTGATTATTCTAATGTGATTATTGCGTTTAGCGCTAATTTACAGGATACCCTTTTAAGTAGGGTTACCATATGGTATCCTAAATGAGGACATGTCCTCCTTTTTCAATAATTTTTCTACATCCTCCTTTTGCCCGAAAATGTCCTCCTTTTTAATCCTTGCATTTTTTTTCATTAAAATGTTTTCAAAGAGCGTTGTTTGCAGAGCTTATTTGTTTCATTATGTCGCAACTTCATCTTATCTAGCAAATGCCATTCGATGGTGGGACTAGGAGTATACATACTACAGCTGTCAACCACCCTACATTTGGTGGCGATCCATTTGGTGTATTTTAACATAAAGTGTATCTCAAAATTGAGCGTACAGCTGTCCGTACATTTCAGAAAAAAAAACAGCTGTACGAGCACAACTTAAAAAGATAGATTTCTAAAGTTCCGGCCGCTGGCTCATCAAGTGTAAGAAGTTAGAGTTATTTTAGAAAAACTAGATTTCCTAACAAAAACACATTTTCTTGAAATACAATGAGTCAAACAAATTGGATTTTTTGCTCATCTGCCAAGATTTCAAAAATCTATCTACTCACAGTCTTTCAAAAAATTGCCCATTCAGGTGTATGCTCAATTTTGAGACACACTGTATATTTGACAGATGGAAAATTTTCAAATAAACCTGCTATTCTACCAGACTTATTTCAGACAAACCAGGAATCAATTTTGACAAACAATTTCTCGAAAATCGGACGATCAACAACAGAGGGGTTAACATTATAATTTATTTTCGAAGTGTCAGTGAAAATTTATCAAATGGAACACATTGCCTTAGCACCGACAAACCGACATGAATGACCATAGCAAAAACAATAAAAATTATGACCAAAGCACACTACTGACATCTGGCTCCGTGTTCGTGGGAAAGATTTAGCTAAGCCTAAAACCCGCATGCAAAAATTATGACTTCGTTCGTGTCTGATCTATTCTGGAGAAATTATTTTTATCTAGTTAAAAAAAATCGTATGGTTTTGACAGTTCGAATCACTGCACATTTAAATTGAACGTTTATGATATTCGGACATAAGTCAGAATTAAGTGTCATGTCGGTTTGTCGGTGCTCTTAGGCTGTGTTCCATTTATCTGAATTTTTACATAAATTTTACATTTCGAAAATAAGTTATAATGTTCGAAAATCTCTCTGCTGTTGATCGTGTGATTTTCGAGGTGTTTGTCAAAATTGATTACTAGAAATAAGTCTGGTACAATAGCAGGTTTATTTGAAAATTTTCTAATGGTTTTAAGGCTGTAAAGCTGTAGTTTTCATGCAAATCAACTAGACTAGATCATTTCCAAGTATCAAAAATGAATTATGAAGGCTAGTTTGATACATTTTTCAGAAGTATAACGAGAAGATGAATTGAATTGGTAACGACTACAAGTTATGAACGATCTCAATTAAACCTTTGCAAATCGTGAATTTCGTGATAGCGCACATATTATTAAAACGTTTGATAAAAACTCATTGTCCTCCTTCAATGTTAAGAAAGGGAATCCTTAATCTCCAAACCTCAAATGAAATGTCCTCCTTTGCAAATTTTTAATATGGTAACCCTACGTTTTAAGGGCTTGTTTTCGTACTAATCTGCGCGGACAGGTAGCCGTGTTTTATACCCTTATTCAGCATTTTACGAGCGCTTATGGCCGCCACAATCTGGCTGAGTTTTTGGTAGTGAACATATCTCGCGTCACTTTTCAAATAGACCAATGTAACATATCCACCATTTTGAGAAAATCGAAGTTGAAGTTCGACAGATTATTTTTTTAACTGTTTAAAAACAACACATTTTACATTACTATTTTTAATGTAGTCAGCATATAATAACGTTGAAAATTCAGAAGAAACAGTAAAATCACAATTTTACTTTGAATTTCATGCTACAACATAGAAAAAATCACATAGGACGTTTTGACAAGTCGAGTTGTACATCGGACATGTTACATTGGACGATTTTTCTCAATGACATAATCAATGAGAACTACATTGGACGTTTTGTCTACATGATACTAGATTCCCTTTCACAGATTTCAGAGTATAGTACCTAACTTTAGATTGGCCCCGCCTTTGGAAAATGAGCACCAATCATGTTAGGCAGTCCGAATGACCGAAGTAACAATCATGTACCCATCATTTCAAACTGTACATTGGACAATTTTTGATCAATGATTATCATAAATAAATGAAAGTAAATTTGGATGGATGTTTTTGTATCACATACAATGACAGAAGAGCAATAGTTTGTATCGCTTAACTCGATTTGTTTACATTTGTTACATTGGACTATTTGAAAAGTGACGCGAGATATGATTAGACGTTTAGGTTGTGTCGTTTGACTGGTAAACGTTCAAATTTGATCGTTTACACGTCAAACGACACAAGCCAAACTTCAAATCATATGTTCCCTACCAGAATCTCTGTAAGATTGTGGCGGCCATAAGCGATCGTAAAATGCTGGATTGTTGTCTCTCGTCGTCGAGCTGCTGGTGATGTTCATTATCAGGGCGTGGTTAATGCTGCAAATCTTCACCTTATTCAATTCGTTGCGTTGCGGACGGAACAACTTGTTTTTTTTACAGTCTATATTTTTTATGAAAAGTATTTTTTTTTCCAAAAACCATTTGCCATTGTGAAGTTTTTTGTGGGATTCAAAATGGCTGAATTTAAGCAAAAACGTGAATGATTGACCATAACTAACAATTATACAAAGCAAAGCTGTTTTTAATATTTGGCCTGGAAAGGTCCATCTTAACATTTGAAAATGCATAAATTTGATAGGTGCTTTGATGGAAACCGCTACCATGGCTGATTTTACAAGGCAAAACAGCCAAGACAATGGTCATTTGTGGATTCTAGCGACCTTGTCCTTAACTGAAACTTATTTCAGCAAAATTCAATGCATTCATGAAAGATGTAGTTTTTTAAAAACAGAAATCGCTGGCGTTGTAAATATGCACGAGTTGAGTTTTCGTAGATATCCCAGAACTATCTAATTTGCAAAGAAATTCGGAAAAATGAAGCCATTCAGTAGACCTTTAATCATCTTGACGAAGTCAAGTTTTGTAACTAGCCAATGGCTGTAGGATGTATCTCTTATTGTAATGATCACCAACCATCAGTAAGAAAGAGAGATTCGACCTTGTTATAGTCATCGCTTCATACATTAGGGATGTACCTACCATTAAATTCAATCACAATCAACCAAACATCACCCTGTTCACGCACGTCTAATCCTCCAACGTCTCCTTTCCTCTTCTCTTCCACAGACTGTTCCATCCTGCACCCGGCCTGCGTACGCTGCAACGAGCGCGGCTGCGTCAAGTGCTCCGAACTGATCCAGCTGGACACCAGGGAGTGCGTCAGTGACTGTCCCGGCGGATACGTCGCCAAGTGGTCCACCACGTCCGAGTTCATGGGTCGCGTGTGCTACCCGGTGGGATTCTCCGGCTCGTTCCTGGCAGCCGTCGTCGGAATCGCCGCCGGTGCAGTGCTCTGCATCGTGCTCATCATCGCCGCCATGGCCGTCATCCGGCGGAAGCAGAAGCGGAAAAAGTATCGGGAAACCTTCATCGATGAAAACATCGATCGGCTAGAGTTTCTCAAACAGCTGGACGAACTGCGACCACAGGCGGAGTATTTCCTCCAGATGCTCAACGACACCAGACGGCAGATTCGCAAGCTACATCTGGCCGGTGACAGTTCCGGTGCTGCCACCTATCATCCGGTGGTTCGCGATCTTGCCAAAATCCTCATCCTACTCAACAAACCGGTCGAGTTGATCAGCTCTGCTCCCCACGACTGGCAACGGTTGTACGTGTGGGCCGAGAAGGTTCTCGATCGGTACAAACCCGAACTGACCCAGTTGATCGAGTTCCTTCAGCAGCCATCGATTCCGTCGTCCGCTTCGGATCCCCGCCTCGGCACCAGTGAACATTCCACCTTCAAGTCCAAGTTCAGCGGAAGCGCAACGGGCGTCAATGAAAATGATATTTCACCCAGTTTGAGTGCCAAGAACCAGCGCAACCTGCTGCAACCGGAATCGGCTACCAAGCAGCAGAACCACTTTCTCGGTTCGCTCATCAGCTTGCACGAGTTCGACGAACGATCATCGTGCTCGCAAACTGACGGGGGCAATTCAAGCAACCCGTTCGGGGACACGTTCGATCATGTGCGGTCGTACCTGTCGACGTCGGGCATCAACGACAGTTCCCTGTGGTTACAGGATGAGTTCTTCAAACTTGGCTTCCGACCGCAGGATGAAATCACCACTGAACTGTAGACAGAGACATACATTCCAAGAGCGGGAGGGGCGACCTTTGTAAATAGAAGACGAGTATTAGAACTTTACGATTCCGCTGCAATCTGAGCAGATGCCGGAACGATCGATACAATCACGAAACTAGTCAAAGCAATTGAATTATTTGTACAGCGAGAGGACGTTTTATATTAATATAATAAACATTTATTTACTGTCAGGTTAGTGAAGGACGCATAGTTCGTAGGCAACTTTCGATAGAGAAAAGAGAGAAGCCTATTACAACTAGATTAAAGGAGTCTCCGGGAAGATGATTTCTGGAATAAGCAATATTGAACTTTGTAAGATTTGTCGGATAGTTTCTCCAGATGGAGGAAGACCTCCGAGCGATAATGTGAATTAGTGAAATAGAAGCTATATTTGGAAAGGTAAGGCAATACAAATTATATTGAAGCACCTCTTGCCAGAGGGGATATCGCTCATCGAGAGCTCAGAGAAAGATTGATCAAATGAATAAACACGTTATTGTACTGGTGCCTTAGGTTCTTCGTTAGAATTTGATAGAAAATTCCATTCGCTGTAACCATTTTGCTATATTTCTCGGCATTGAAACACTGAAAGCATTTAAAGGGTGTTCACAGTTAATTTGCATCACTTACAAAAAGCTGGAACATTTTGCCCTTTGAGTTAATTTTAATTAAATTTTGGGTGAGATGGATCAGTGTGTATTGTTTACAGCGTGAGTTGCATTGTGAAATTTCTAGTAGTTTTGAAAATGAAGTCGAAGGAACAGCGCTGCGCGAGAAAATTTTGCAAAACAACCCTCATGCGTTTTGCGTTGATCACTACAGAGCAGGAAATATTGTGCTGCGTTGAAGATCACAAGCGAGTGGTGGCTGCCTGCAAAAACAAACCCAACTGTCGCGAAAAAACTGCATCTGACAAAAAAGATTCGCGCAGAAAACGCCAAGAAACGAGCAGGCTGCGTTCATTCAAGGTTCAGAAAGCACCAAACCGCAATGAAAGACAGAATGACAGCTAGAACACGGGAACGTAAGCTGTACACACAAATGTTGACAAAACCACACTGCTTTATCCTGGACGATTAAACATACGTAAAAGCGGACTTCAAATAAATTTCGGGAAACCATTATGTGACTGCGAAAGACAAGTTCGATGTTTCAGAGTCCCTCAGAAAACAGCAAGTGTCGAAGTTCCCCAATAAATTCATGATTTGGCAGGCAATTTTTTTGTGCGGAAAACGGAGCAAGCCTGTCGAACAACTACAACCGTAAATGGCCCAGTATACATAAATGATGAACGACTATTTCCGTTTCTCAAATCACACAACGTTCCTATACATTTTTTTTTGGCCGGATCTAGCCTCTTGTCACTACAGGTATACCTCGATATAACGTAACTGTCACTTTTGACTCCCATCGTCAATATCTCGGTAATAACAATTGAATCATACAAATTAATATTACTAATAAATGGGGGATTATCTCATCTGTCCGAAGGTGATATTTCCAACCGGTGGAAACTAAAGATTTTAAATTGGCTCACTACTTGACTACCTAGTCTATTGGTCCCAAGCAAATCGATTAACGTACCACATTCTAGTCAAAATTCTAGTACTACACTATGTTTGTTTTGATTCGCTATGAAAGTTTGAAGATACAATGAGGGGTTCGTGGGTTTTCCTATGTTTCGAGGGGTGCATCGATTAGCTTGGGACCGAAGATAGTACCAGAGCTGAGCCAAAAGTAGAGCACGTTTCTTCGGGACCTTCTGGTCTTAGATTTACCTCTATGGTGATATTCTCCCAGGAAATAAACACCATCAGTGTTGTCTTCGCATAATTTCCCATGCACATAAAGGGGCTGGGGTGTCAATGCTTACTGTTGGGATTAAATCGTAACCTTGAAAAAGAATTATTAGTAATTATAGCAAGTTTTTTTTCAATAACAATGTCGAGCTTACTTCAGTCCGTGATGATAAAACACACCTTTCTCAAATATTTACTGAAACATTTTTAAGAAAAAAAAAAACCAAGGCTGCGGAGTCGGGTCGGAGCCGGCAGCATTTTTGGTAGGTTCCGGGCTCGGAGTCACTTCCAATAGTGTTTATCGGTGTAATAGAAAGAATACTTTTGATTTGGACATCAGATACTTCGAAAATGCCTCCGACTCCGACTCGACTCCGCTACTGTGTAAAAAATACTTGCTTCTGGATTTTCACTAAAGCTAAAGTGACAGCTTTGAATTTTACAATTCATGGTCAGTCAAATATGTTGACTATTTTGACGGATGTCCAGAAAAAATCTATGATTACTTTGTGTACAGTAATTATAATTACTGACTTTTCGTACAATACAGAAAATTTAGAACTTTCTGGCTTACTCAGTAATTACAAATTCTGTGCTCAGTATTTTACAATAAACGTTACCGAAATTCAGTTTGCATTTGCTGAATGTCAGTAATTCCGCTAATTTGAACTGAATATTCAGTCAAATATTTGTTTTACGGTTCAAGCCCAGATAAAAAAAAATACCGAACAACTAAATGCTGGATTAGTGTATACTATAAGCGGTTTACTCAAAATTAGCTTATTGAACGGAACGTGGGAGATGAGTGAAAAGAACTGAATTTTGGGTAATTTTTCGGTTCCGTGTTGATTTTTTGGTTTACTAATACAACCATACTTTGACTATATGTTTTAGTATTACTTCTACGTGAAGTCAACGATTTACATAGTTGAAGATGCTAATTTCAAATAACAGACTGTAGTGGTAATTTTTATACGATAGATGGAGTAGATGAAACCATAGAGTTGATAGTTCCGTTAGAGTACGGCAGTGTGAAGATTGCATATAGATATTAGAATAGCGAGCTAGGACAACTTTTAAGGAAGGTACAAATCGGTTTTTTCATCTCTCTTTACCACAAACTCCCCCTTTGGAGAGGGATGGTGTCCCCCCCCCCCCCGCCACCACTGGCAAAAAGAGATAAAAACCGACCCGCTCAAGTACCAACTGTGACAAGTAATACTAAAACATATAGTCAAAGTACATAACCACAAACGAACGAAGTGACAGACGGAGCGGCTCGAAATTTGATTTGACGCACTTACATTTACAATTTTCGAGTGTACCTCACGGCAACACTATCTACTCATATGTACTAGATTAAACTAGGGGGTACCGCCTGTTATCTCTTTTTCTCTAACGAAAATTGAAAGGGAGAGCCTGTTGTCAAACAGCATGTCATTATATCGCTTCTTTTGTATAATGAAAGACCATAGGCCAAAATGATTAGGGATGAACACATCGGGTTAACATTTGCTTACAAGTAAACGATGTTGAGCTGTCAATGACTCGCGCTTGTTGCAATTGTTGCTACAGATTTCTTCAGTCCGTGCTAGAAGCCTAAGTCACAGTCATTCGCGACCGAGAAGACATAGACATCGTTGTTGGACGCCAAACAGAACCCGGTCATACTCGGTATGCTGGTATACATTCACTCCTCCGTAGCGGAACTGGAAGGATCCACCCAAGCTGCCGGATATCAGTTTTGTCTGCTCCAGCTTCTTCTTATTATTCTGCAGAACCAGACAGTGCGAGTACTGGTCGTGTTTGCCAAACCAACCGGTGGAAGCCGATTTCTTAGGCACGTTGCAATTGTCGCAGTAGATCGTCACTTGCCGCTGCACTTCCATGGAGCGGATTACAATCGCCGTGGCAGTAGTTTCGTCGTACAGATCGATCACTGGATCGATATCAACCCGATAGGTATGGCCGGCATACTTCGCGTAGTGACGCTCGCTCATGTCACGGGGAATCCTTTCCGAACAGGCGGCGCATTGAAACTTCTGTACGAATCGATCGGGACATAGGATTTGATGTCACGCTTTTGTCTCTTGCTCAGCCTCTTCTTATTCATCCGTTTTATTATTTGGGTTTTCGTTCATGTATGGTAGTTTTTTATTAGGGAAACAGTAAAAAAAGTTGTTAAATATTACAGCAGATAAGCTGCACATAACATATACACATTAATCCAGTCAGTAATGTTTTACTGGGTTTTTGAATCGCGGACTGTTCGAAAAAAGTTTAAAACTCTGCAGGAAATTCAAAAATATGAAACTTTTTCTGAACTTGTACAGATAAAGTTCTGTTAATCTCATTTCTTTTTTTTTCCTTTGATTTGTTTTTCGTCGATCTGGTTGTCCGTACTGAGCACCAATGCTACCGATGCCAGCACTGATAAAAATCCCCTTATACCTTTTGGCAAATTTCCATTGCTGATTATTAATAAAATGTATAAGGCTACCACCAACCAATTTGTTCCGAACGGCCGGAAGACCAAGCTGAGGCATGGGATGCTCATTATGCCCCACTTGTTCACTATGCCCCTCTCATAAAATCCACTATGCCCCTTCCATAAAATCACAACGAAAATCATGGTAAATGAGAAATGTACAATAAAAAGGGGGCTTGTTAGGCTAAGCATATTAACAATAAAAAAATTGATTTTTGTCGAACAAATTTGATCTCATCAAATTAATTTTCATTGATAATTGTATCGTTAAAAACGAAATTTATTATTTCTCCTTTCCAATAATTTAATAATAAATTTTTAATGTGCCCAAAATTCAACCGTAAAATTCATTGTAATTTCGTTATTTTATTATAATTTTTTTTGCGGCCATCCTCGGTATGCATTCGTTACTCCGTAGCGGAACCGGAAGCTCTCGACGAGGGCGATCTTAAGGAGGAAAATTAACTCCAAAATCATGCCGAGATCCATCGAATCAAAGAGGCGATCGACGTGCTGGAGGTGAGAATGAAGGAGGATCGGATGAAACTGATTTTTTTTTTAATTTATTACGGCTAGAGATGCTGTATGTCAAGCGTTTGAGCATGATTGCGGTACGATGCACTATTCTGGACTGGTCTACTATACGTGGCAAAACTAGTCATTATACCTACTACGTGTACCTTGTTACCTGAAGACGAGGAGGGAATCTTCGGATTCATGTAGGAGGACATCAGAAATGAGGAAGCTCGTATGCGAGGACAAAAGTGTTACATCTGCAAGGGTTGATGCATATATTATGTCACGCTCTAGGGGGGGGGGGGGGGTCTAAGATTTTGTGACAAGCAATGCATTAGGTATAGGAAAAACGTCACGATAGGGGGGGGGGGTAAATTTCTCTTCGATTTAGCGTGACATAATTAATGCATGGGCCCCAAGGAACGGTATGCGAACGTTTTGTGTTGCACGAAGAAGTGCTTCCGTTCATTTCAGACGCTTTGTGGGATGCAGAATGAATGCCTGTCGCATTACGTGGATACGTTCCAGTCGTGGTGCGATAAGCACGTAGCGCTGGTGGGTAAGGTGAAATAATCCGGGACCGAAGCCTGTGGGATTTGCTACGATGAGATGGGACCGTACAGGAAGCTGGAATCGATTCGTGCTGTCAGAATGTTTGGTTCCATCGGAGCTGCATGGCACAGTTTGCCCAATCGGCGGGGTACTTTTTCAAGTGCCCTTTGTGCAACAACAAGGACGACTTTAGTCAGCAGATGCAGCAGCGTGGCATTTATATTCCACTTCCACGAGGAACTTCCGTCGAAAACTTCGAGGAACTTCCGTCGAAAAATTGCTTCGAGCCAAACCGGTCGTATCAAATCGTTGACTTCTTCGGACAATGAAGACGAAGCATCCTCCGCCGGATCGTCGACCGTGTTCGATTTCAGCTATCGTGTGAATTTAACCAAAAAAAGCAATGCCGAAAATCGATGGTAGAATTGCAGTCGATCAAAGAGTTCATCCGTTCCGACACGGACACGCTAACGGATGCCTCGGTGGGACAGGAGATCGTGCGTCCCAAGACGCCTGCCAGAAATCTTTTGAAAAACTACAAATTGTAGCTTTTCGGGTCGAAAACCGTCCCACGAAAACGGTCCACCAGCGAGTCTGATCCGGAGTACGTTACAGCGAAGAAAATTAGGTTGATTTAATTTTAATGGTGACCTTCCTTAGACGGTGAATTTTCCAGCACTAGTCAGGTCTTTCTCACGGCGCAGTGGATTACTGCCAACGGTGCCACCTCAAGTGGGAATGCGATTCGAAACCGGGTTGACGTTGATGCTCAAAAGTGACCCACATTAAGCGGTATCACGCTGCTTTCAGGTACTGATGGAGAACCTTCCAAAACTTCTAGTGTTTGGACTGGTGAAGATTGCTAAAGTATGATCCCGATGAAAATATTTTGCGTATACGTATACGTGACGTAGTGTGCGTAAGATAAACGTCAGCAATCTCTATGACACAAAGAATGCACCTGAAACCGACGGAGAATCGCAAGTGCTGTGGTGAGGCAGAAGGAAACAAGTTAGCACTTTCATTATCACGACGTTCTTATGCATAATCTAGTGTGACGTAACGTTGGATCATGCGTAAGAACACCGTGAGAACGAAAGAGTTGTCAACATTCCTTCTGCCGTACCTACAGTAACGCACACGGTTCCCGCGCTGATTGTTCCTTACTTTCTCACTCTTATCAAAATTTCCTTCGATGAGTGAGAAAACAGCACCACGTCAACGCGAGCGAGAACGAGGGTTGCCAGATCATTGCACACAAAACCAACTTGAATTAATTCAAAGCAAAAATACTAGCGAACCTGGCGGTGAGGGGCGGAAGGTGGACTAAAATTCTATTACAGAGAACCACATTATTTTAATTAATTTCTTCGGAGAAAGTCGTCAGACTGTGCGTGAAACATGGCGGACTTTGTACTATCCTTTCACTCCACCGAAAATTCCCATAAGAAACTGTCTATATTTGCTGGAAGAGCAAATTTTTCGACGGTGCCGTCAACGCCAATAGGTGGAACAAAATCGATATTTTGAACCTCTCTGCGCAAACCTCCCAACAAATTAAAGCATTCGATCCAGGCCAGTGACAAGGCCTATGCCAATAGCAGCGTTTGACAGTAGGCAGCATGTCCCGGGCTCAAATCGTATATTTTACTGTGCTGGGCCCGCTGTCACGGTATAACATGTTGACTACGCGCCTGCCACTGGGCAGGCGCGATCAGTTGACTCAACTAACGAGTCAAATTCGTTAATACTCCGAACACGATGCCTCCAGTAAAATGTGTAACGGAAAACGTGCAATGTTTGAAAAATCATAGCTCAGCCATTTATTAAGAAATTTCAAATCTATTGGCGATACTTCCACACTCTAATAAAATCTATAGATAAATTGCTGAGTAATGATTTTTCAAACATTGTCAATTTGCCGTTACACATTTTACCGGAGGCATCGTGTTCGGAGTGTTAAATGAGCCGAGGTGGTGACCTACACTCAAAAAATTCCACACGTTTGATCGAAGTGTTTAAACACTTGATTTTTTAAATGCACAATCACATTTACTTTAAGTGTATTTCACCTTAGTTCAATGTGTTATACACGTTAATTTCTAGTGTTTCAAACTATGAAAAGTTGAAAATCTTTCACTATCTATTCAAGTGTATTGCACATTGAATCACACTACTGTTCAAAACAGATGGATTTAAAGTGTTTTGCATTTCAATACGATGTGAATTGCTTGCTCAGAAAGGTAAACATCGAAAACAAGAGTTGTGACTTTATCCTATCAACCCGCCTCATATATGAGAACAACCGTGGCACAGTGAGATCGAACGAAGGCTCCGGCAGCAGCACATCCCAACAGTCCATGATCGAATCCCAAAACAAACCCATTAAAAAGATATGTGAAAGCTCTGGCCTCTGGAAGGTTTGTTTATATATTTGTCGATTCATTTTTAGAGGCAGTAAACTAGAAGTCGATAAAGTAGAATATTGTAGAATGTTGAACTACACTCAAAAAATTCTACACGTCATCAGCATGTGTCTCAAACTCAATTTTGCGCTTATTGTGAAACACATCCATTTCATGTGTGAGTCTTATGCTATGAATCATGCCTGAACACTATGGATATGAATTGTGACACGCTTGGATTCTATATGCCTCATATGGTGATATCAATAGCTTTGCACATCATAGTTCAACATTCTACAATATTCTACTTTATCGACTTCTAGTTTACTGACTCTAAAAAATGAATCGACAAATATATAAACAAACCTTCCAGAGGCCAGAGCTTTCACATATCTTTTTAATGGGTCTGATTTGGGATTCGATCATGGACTGTTGGGATGTGCTGCTGCCGGAGTCTTCGTTCGATCTCACTGTGCCACGATTGTTCTCATATATGAGGCGGGTTGACAGGATAAAGTCACAACTCTTGTTTTCGATGTTTACCTTTCTGAGCAAGCAATTCACATCGTATTGAAATGCAAAACATTTTAAATCCATCTGTTTTGAACAGTAGTGTGATTCAATGTGCAATACACTTGAATAGATAGTGAAAGATTTTCAGCTTTTCAAAGTTTGAAACACTAGAAATTAACGTGTATAACACATTGAACTAAGGTGAAATACACTTAAAGTAAGTGTGATTGTGCATTTAAAAAATCAAGTGTTTAAACACTTCGATCAAACGTGTGGAATTTTTTGAGTGTATGATGTGCAAAGCTATTGATATCACCATATGAGGCATATAGAATCCAAGCGTGTCACAATTCATATCCATAGTGTTCAGGCATGATTCATAGCATAAGACTCACACATGAAATGGATGTGTTTTAAAAATAATGCGCAAAATTGAGTGTGAGACACATGCTGATGATGTGTAGAATTTTTTGAGTGTAAGCAGCAAAATTCAACTGTAGTTACCATTTTGGCTATCGTTCGTTTATGATATTTGCTCGGGGATTTGTTTATCAGGATTTCTAGACACCCCAATAGGTCTGGGTTCAATCCCAGCCGAGGTCGGTGGGATTTTTCTGAGGCATAAAAATCTCTGGTCACGTCTTCCTTCGGAAGGGAAGTAAAGCCGTTGGTCCCGGCCCATGTGTGTTGAATGGGTGTGATATCCTACGCAGGTGTGGAAGCTGCCTTCCTGCACATTCGATTGCCATCAATGGATGGCAATCGATGTCCGTCGGTGATTGGCACTAGATTGCGGAACAGAGACCGACGTTAAATAAAGGAAAAAAAAATTTGTTTATCAGGGTGATGCATGCTAGTGACACCTGTGGGAAAAGTCGGTCAGTTTTCAACCTCGTTTGAGACTTACGGTCTTGACTGTACTCATATTTGTTCCCAGCGGCACCGTTGCACGCGCCGATGAGATGCGGTGCGATGTTTTCTGTTTTCTTTTGTTATTCTATTCTTCAAATAAAAAAAAAGTTTAACGTTCACTTCCTCAAAAAAAGCGTCCATCACGATTGTTAATTAATTGTACAAATATCAGGTGATTTCTTATGATTTAACTGTACAAATCCAACTCCAACAAGTGCTAAGATTTCAATTAATGCGTTGGTGATAAAATGGCTAAAAGGAAGCCAGCTATCGAGTAGGTATTTTGAATTATTTGAAGGGTCGCTTCCAGCGACTAAGCCGATGACGAAACCTTAGCTTTTTTCGTTATCCTAACCCGGACGACAACGGCAGTGACAATAAAACGGAATGTTTTCATGTTCGCTTTCAGGGTCGAGGAAGTGCTACCGGATGACAATCAGCTAGGTGAGCGAAGTTTAATGTGGAAAACCTTCATGGATGTAAGTAAATATGGTTTTTTTTTTTATTAATCCTGCCAGGGTGGTCAACGAATCCGGCGGGGATCGAACAACCCGCGAATTCAAGCTCTGTCTTGTAGTGTAGTGTAGTAGTTCCACAGTTATTGACTGAGAGCTTTGGAATCTTTTACCATGTTTGTATTTTCGTATATCGTGGTACTCCATGCCCAAAGTCCTAAACAGCCACCAGCATAGTCCTGGTTTATAGCTAGCCTGCTTCCATCCTCCGTATATAGCTTCATCCATGACTTCATGGCCGGAAGTATCTTCAATAAATAAATCTAATCTAATCTAACATTCCAAACTAAAGTCCATCATCCGGATATCCTTAGTCTTCTGAGTACTTCCTAGAATGAGGATTCCGTACTAAACTGTCCATCATATAGAAGACCCTAATTGATCCCCTGAAAGCTGCCAACTTATTGAGTAAGCTAGAATCTGCTATAGGGGGCTCTAATTTTGGCCCATAGAACTATGCGTCATTTGGAAGCATGAAAAATTGTCAAAAAATGCTTTCCTTCGAAATTTATGTATGGGCCCAATATTAGGGACATTAACCCTAATATACGGCTTGAACCAGGATTTGAACGTAAACGAGAATATGAATACAGAAGTAATACCCAGTGGCGTCCCGTAACCTCACATTGTACCTGTGCACCCATTTTCAAAACCAGATTTTTGCCATATTCATAATCGGTTGAAAAATACACTTAACCTTCTAGTTTAGTCGATATCTATCCAATCCATTGCAAGCAATAGGGGAAATGTATGTAATGTCGGCCTAAGTGTCCCTAATTTGGGCCCATACATAAATACAACAATCGACTAAATTTTCAATAGCAACCAAAAATATCCATTAGTACCGTCCCAATGACGCGTTCATCTAGATTCGATTGATAAATAGCAGATTTTTAGCGATGGGCCCAATCTTAGATCCATAGGCCAACATTAGAGCCATTTCCCCTATCTTGATAATTGTTTATGTTTTGAGAGTTGGTGCACAGCTAGATTGAGGTTAAGGAAACGCAATTGGTAATAACAAATAGACCGGTGACCAGAAGTGACGCTCGAATCAACATACATAATAGGGCCCTACATGTACGGGAAGCTCGAAGGTGTAACACTAGTGCAGCCTAGTACAAACATTCCTAACTGTCCATCTGGAATCGGGATGGCCAAGTTGATACCACATCGATCTAAGTGGATTATCCTTCTTAGGCGTAGAGTCTACTTATACAGGAACAAAGCGGGAACTTCGCTGACCACCCTAGGCCGGTTGCTTGGGTTCCGGAAAGTTACATTCACTATCACCATCCGTTTGGTTTCTGTTCCGGTCGGAACCTATGCTTCTGTTACATGCACACTCACGGGAGAGTTGAAAGTTGGTTTATGTTTGAAACCCTCTTTGCAGACGTTGCTTGCTGCATTTAACCAGTCGGCTGTCGTCAAGTGCACTCGCCACCTGCAGGCAGTGATCGGACAGCGGTGCAGGTTCTGTTTCAGCGCGATAATGCACAGTTTTCAGGCCTTCCGGCGCTGGCTGCTGCTACGCGACCGCAAACGAAAACTAGAACCGCCACCGGAGACGGACGATGAGCCTCCTTCTTCTCCTCACGAAGCGGATTCCGGTGAACCGCAAACGGTAAGATTTCCAAACGGGTGGTGATTTTGAACTTGGCGAAATCGGCTGTGACTGCGATTGGGACAGGAATCTGCAAACTCATAACCGACATCTTCTATGGTTTCATTTCTAGAAATACTCCAAATATAATGAGAAAGACAACATTGTATTCGAAAAAGTATGCGACATGCTGGACTACGATGCCAGCGATCACAGCAACGCCAGCGATGTTCATACGGATGCTGAGGCCGAAGATCCAGCTTTGGCCACTGAATTTAGTCGGGAGGATGTTGAAAATCAGCTGGTGCGAGTAGTAGCCAAACGGAAGCGCGGTTGGTCGAAAAACGGTCTGATGGAATTGATGATGGCCGTAGAAGATGGTCCCAACATGCCTAGTCACCTGAAGGTCGAGAAGTGGTTATTTAATCAAAACACCGGCCCTTTCGATATGACGCAAAACCGTGAAACGATCGTGACAGAGAAGAACGCCGATGGGGATCGCATGCGATTCTACCGGAAAGAGGAGGTAACCATTTCGAGAGATGCTGACGACGCAGACTCACTGTCGACGGTCGACGAAAAAAAGTATATATTGCAGAACAAGAAAGATCGGAACGTTACCAGCAAGATCAAGGTGATCCAAACGTTCCGAATCAAGACCAACAGCGCAAATTCATTCGTGAAACCGAAACTGCATTCGATAAGCAGCTTCCCCATCCACGAAGAGGAACCAACGACATCCACCAGTTGGCTCAATAAAACGTCAAAATCGGACTCGGCTTTCGAAACCGGCGAAGATCAGGTAAGGTTCTCAGAATAATAATTCGCTGCAAATAACTTGCCATGTATCCATTTTTTCAGTCCCAAAACCGATCGCGCCAGCCAGCATCGAGAAAATCTGTCCCGGCACCTGCTCCATCCTCTTTCTTGCAAATGGACAGAGACAACAGACGCAAGAAGGTGTTCAAAAAAACAATCAAGAAAAAGTCCGCCATGAAAAGTCCATCGAAGAGGAGATCGTCTGGTAGCAGCGCGCAACAGTACGAATCCGCCCTCCAGCGCTGTGGAACGGTAAGGAAAATCGCACAGCGACGAGTCCACTGGCAGGAAATGAGCTACATCGCGGAAAGCAGTAGCGACGAGTCCGACCAGGTATTTTCCACCAGGTTAACTCGATCGAAAGCAAAGGCATCGCCGAAGCGGGAACTTCGATCGAAGTCTTCCAGCCGATCCAGTATAACGCCTGAAGCGTCGCCAAGAAAACTTTGGCCGCGGAATAAAGTCATCTCTCCGGGGAAAACCGTGGACCGGGAACTGGTCGGTAATTTTAAGTCGATTTGCCTGAGTCCAAGGAAAAAACTGATGAATTTTCAACCGGAACGGCAACACCCACCCCGGAGGGAGGCGAGCGTTGAACAGACCTCAGATCTGACGGCGCTTTTCAGTAGCGCAAACGATAAAATTTCCAATTCGACGACTGTTGGCAACAACACGACATCATTCATCAACAGGTCGATGATTCCTGACGTAGCGCAGGGGATAGTGGTGTACCAACCAAAAACCATCCAGTCGGAAGCCGCTGCCGACGCGAAGATACGCATCACGACCAAGGACTTGGAGCTGACCAAGGTGGCGAAGGCACGGCATTTGGATAGTTTCCAAAAATTTGACCACTTGATCCACCCCAACTCGTCCGTGTTGTTCTTCCCGTCGGATTCCGAAGACGACGAACCGCTTGCGACGCTGACAACCACCACCAACTCGGACGGGGATTTAAGTTTCGACGACGACGATCCGATTCTGACATTCAAACCACGGAACACCGGGCGTTTGAATGTGATGGAATATAAGTACCATTGATCGATTTGTTGGGATTCTTTTTTTTTTACTGGATTATGTCGCTAGGTATAAGTAGATTCGTGCGCCTGGTTGTAATTTGGTTACGAACACTGTAATATATATATATTGGATGTCAATATTTGCTTTTTCTGGTGGCGGTTTGTTGCGCAAACAGTTGAGAAATGCTCCCAATGTTAGATGGCTGGTAGGCGAGTTGGTACTGGAAATAATATGTATGACATTTGATATCAAGATTACTCGATTCATTTTGTCCTGGGCATTGGCATAACCTTGAGGAGTGCTTAACTGCAACCAGGTCCCAGTATAGTCGCTATTTTTTCTGGTGGATAGAATTTCGATCAAACTATTCGAAACGAACCAATTCAATATATTTTAGATCAAAAATTGGATAGGAAGGACTATTAACTTTTATAAACAAAACGTTGATTATTCTTTCCTCGCCAATCGAACGCCGCAAATTTCCAGCATCATCGGATAGGGGAAACCTTCCCCAACCCAAAGATGGTGTTAGTTAGCGTAGACGAGCCTTGAGTCACGAGAAAAGGGTTTCCGAAGTTTTGTTCGCAATAGCTGATGTGCTCTTTTCTGTTGTTGGTCGTGATTTCAGTGCCAACATTTCAAAGGGGCGTAATTGCTTTTGTAAACAATGGCTTTAGACGTCGATTTCTCGCAAATGAAAACCCACCCCTCCGAATTACAAATGCTAGCTGATACAGGAAACATTCCTCTGCGTGCTGGTTTCATTCATTTTCATGAGTGTGCTTACATTCGCGCGAAATCGACGACTAAAGCCATTGTTTACAAATGCAATTACGCCCCTTTGAAATGTTGGCACTGATTTGTTCGATTGGTTCCGCTATTTTACAGCTCAATTGGTTCCCGAGATTCTATCCGCCAGATTATGAATATAGCCACTATAGGTCCCAGGGCTTGTCTGTATCTTTACAATTTGAAAGATGCACACTAGTGATGTCAATTGTGATGTAGCGGACCAAAAGTTTGTAGGAATTTAACTAATTGCCAACATTAAATAATTGTGTAGTTTAGAATTATGATTTTAACTATGAATTGGTTTTTTTTTTTTAAATAATTGAGTCTAATGGTGCAAAAATTAAAAAAAAAAACGTTCAAAATTTTTGGAATGCGACATCACACAGGTACTACCTTTGAATTTGGTTTGAGCGAGTGGCGATTTTGTTTTCTTTAGATCAAGGCGATGAAGAAGACAAGGATATTAACTATCTGCACACTGGATCAACATATAGCCACAGAGAACAGACATGGAGCTTGAACGTCTGTTCTCTGTGATATAGCCATGCTAGGAGGGATAGAACATCATTTTATTTTCATAAAAACAGAACCATCATAACATCAGAAAGCCCATTGGGATATTACGAGTGTCACTTCACGGTGAAAACGAAGAGAAGTGACCACTTCACATTTCCGTTTAAATCAAATGGGAATTACTTCACCGTGAGTGATAAGTTGTCACTTCACCGGTAATAAGGGCCGGGATCTCGGATAAGAAGAAAATTGGAAGACCATGATCCACTCACGTTCTGAAACAATCATCACGAAAAGCGTCCACCAGAGAGTAGTAGTAGTGGCCACCTTGCCCCCGAGTGGCTGGGTGGATATACGATAAACAACTAGATAAGAATATCAAGGCTCAACTACTACGGACACATCCTTAGAAGCAATCCAGGCGGAATTTTGAAAACGGCACTCAAGTATAGAATACCAGAACCCAAGAAAATTGGAAGACCGGCATATACCTGGGAAACATGTATTCGACAGGACGTGGAGAGGAGCAAAATTCCCCTTGAAGCATGGCAGGATATCAAGGATATAGCACAAGAAAGGAGCAAGTTCAAACAAACCCTGGGGGCAAGACGGCTGTACTTAGAGTTAATATTTTCACAGCGAGCAAATTTGAGTAACTTATATTTACTCAAAAGTGATCAAAGTAGTCTCACATTCGCCAAGAAATTAAAAATTAAATCAGTATTGCTGATTGCATCTGAAACTGGACTGTCCCAAAAATGCAAAAAGTGTGATAAAAGTGCACGTTTCCGTCAAATCGTTTTGATGTCTTCGGAGCACTTATTGCTTGCATCATAAGGAATAAGTGCACCCAAGACACCAAGACGATTAGACGAAAACTTGCAGTTTTATCACACTTTTTAATAAGTAAAAACGCGTTTATTAGTCCAATTTGGTGTGAAACGCGGAATATAAACATACATTATCTGTCAGAGTGTCAGGGTAATCCCATCCGTATTTTATTTTTTGTATTCTTGCATCAAATACTCACTAATCCATGTGTTCTTCTTTTCAGTATCAATTACTCTTATATGCGTGGTCTCTACTATCGTGTTATTGCCCAATCAGGAAAAGATATTTCCGATATGATCCGGAGAAATGAACCCGTTATTTGGCGTGCTTTATTACGAATTGCCAAGGGTGTGTTCTTTCGATGGTTAATTTAGCATTCTATTAGCAGTTTTGGCATTGACTCTTATAATGATCATACATTGGAAAGTGCTGATTAGACCTATTTTTAGTTTTAAACCTGTTCAAGATTTGACCAATCAAGCAAAATCGGTGAAGATTAAGAATCTAAACCGCTTCAAATGTATGATTCAATTTCAGCATCTTATATAAATAAGTTAACGTGAGTTGCGAATTCTAGTTTGAATTGTTCTGATAGTGCAGTAATTTTTTATATTTGACTATACAATGATCTTCCCAATAATCTCGGTTTAAACTTTGTGAAAACTGTAACTCCTCAATGATTATTTCTCTCCAAAGTCGCAAGTGAAACGCGATGCAAAACAAGAGAAAAACAACCATCAAAAATTTCAGTTTTCATTCGTGAGCAATACAGTCCTGGAATCATAAAGCGGTAGTCTTTGACGCCTCTGCCAAAATGTGCATCATCAATACGTTAAATTATGTCAACTCCATATTCACTTGAAAATCCCATTATTATCATCGTAAATCAATGATAAGCATACACAGATTTTGCAGGCTGCAACACGGATTTTGTGGATGGCAATCCGGTATGTAATGTTGTTAAATGATGAACGTAGATTTTCCTCGTCCAACGTCTTTGCTTGACAATCGTGGAATGCAGTCAAAACTAACAGGTTGCTATATCACCGTGTATTGAATATGGAGCAACTCAAGTTACTCAGAGTTACTCAAAATTTACTCCAATATTACTCATTATCAAGAGCTGTCTCACCCCTAGAACAAACCACTAAAAATCTGTATAGTAGCATGGTGGAGTCGGAATTTGAGACTAGCAGCGGCTCTGACTGGGATAGTGAAACAGAAGACGTTCAGACTTCTCCGGATTCAGTGATGAGGACCCCATGATGACAGGAACCGATTCTGGCGAAGCAGTCGGCCCGAGGCAACAACCCACAAAACATCCCCAGTCAACCGATGATTAAGCAACACAAGTTAGCCCAGAATGTCATAGGTAAGTTCACACAATCGTTATATTAACATGCTATCCCAATAGATCCCTATTCAAATGTGCTAGCAGTGGCTTTTTAACCACCAGTAGTTGTCTCTTCTGGCGTTCGAGTAGCGGATCTATTGCACACAGCAGGCGCAGACAACTGAGCCCCCAAACGGCTGCAACATGTGGTCTGCAAAAACAAAAAGATTGCTCCATTCATTTTGTGCTGCAGTGCTGATAAAAATCATTTCTTCTACACTCAACTTAGCTGAAAAAGAAGACAACCTTACCAGATAGACTAATTGAATTTTGACATAAAAACATTCTCTTGATCAAGGCAACCTCTGAGTATCGAAGGCAACATAATGTGCAGACTTCTTCAGTATCTTATACTAATATTCGACTGAAGAAAACATCGCAACTTACTGAATATATATTAACCTAGGACACAGACATATGAAAAAAAAAATTCTTGTTCCAGTATGATTTCCGGGGGCCTTCAGGGTCCTAGAATAACTGTTTAAAATTTCAGGTCAGTCGGGGGAACTATATTTTAGCGCCAGCGCTTTTAATTTTACATAGGAATTTCCATGGGGAAACTTACTTTTTCAAATAAAAATCTGGTGTCCTCTAAAAATAAATCAACCCAATTACTTCCTAGGAAATTCTACAAGGAAACTTTTCTTCGAACACCGCAAAACGATGCGACGTTTGTGGAAAAAGTTATTTACTTACTTACTTACTTACTTAAGGGTCCTGTGCACCACCAGCGGTGCAAAAGGCCAACGTGAAAGACTTCCATCCTGGGCGGCTGCTCGCTTTTGCCTTGACCTGGGCCCAGGTCAGATTTCTATCGACTTGCTTAATTTCCTTATTGAGGCTCCGCCGCCATGTGCCCCTGGGTCTGCCTCTGCTGCGATGTCCTGCCGGATTCCAATCCAGCGCTTGCTTGCAGATTTCGTTTCTGCCCCGTCGAAGTGTGTCGCCCTAGAATTTCTGTTGCTATCGGCTTCTGATGACATCGACGATGGAGCTCGGCATTCGAGATCCAGTTGTGAGGCCACCAGGCACGAATTATATACCGCAGTCATCGGTTGATGAAGACCCTGCAGCTTTTCAGTGTTCTCCGCTGATACACACTACGTCTCGCTGGCGTATAACAACACAGATTTCACGTTCGAGTTGAAAATTCGGATTTTGGTGCGTTGACTTATCTGGTTGGATCTCCATACGTTTCGTAAACTCGCAAAGGCAGCCCTAGCCTTCTTGATTCGTGCACCTATGTCGCTCTTGGTCCCGCCGTCCGACGCTATTTGGCTGCCAAGATATTGGAAACTTTCGACCTTCTCCACTGCTTGCCCCGTTACCGTAAAGTTGGAAGGGTTGCCCGTGTTGATATCCAACGATTTGGTCTTGTTGACGTTGATGGTGAGACCCGTCGCAGAGGAGCGTTCGGCTAGGTCATTGAGCTTACTCTGCATATCAGAGCGCCGTTGTGCTAGTAGAGCAACATCATCAGCCAAATCGAAGTCGTTGAGATGCTCCATGGTGATAGGCTGCCAAAGCAGCCCACGGTTCGGTACACGGTCAATTGCACCTACCATGATCTCGTCGATTACGATGAGAAAC